AGGAAACAATTCCAAGGCCTGATCCAATATCTTCTGACCAAATGCTTTCTTCAGTGCATCATACTCATCACCTCTCTTTTTTATAGGTAAGTGCTGCCACTTGTTGAACCACTCATTGTTTGCAATCCCAAATATTTCAACAGTGGACTTCCCTGAAACATTGCACACATTCTTATGAGTGATGCACATTATTTCTGTGAATGCAAAAAACACCTGGATGCCTCTGATTGAAGGTGGAATCCTTTGCAGAACCAAAGTTGAAAATCAACAAAGGAATGTCCACCTCCAGTGCCTCTTCCAGAGATAGGGACAGATAATCATTGAAAACCTGTTTATGTTAATTATAAATCAATTACAGAAAGGCTAATGAGGTAATGATCATAGAAAGTTCATATATACCTCTCCACATTCCTTGTTTGTGGCAAAACATCTGATGGGTTGCCATGGTAATTCAAGTTCTTCTGCAGTCTTGTTCAACCCAACAAATAGCTGATAGTAGCCAGTGGGTTTGTTCATAAAGGGTTTAGCTTCTCTGTACCACTCTGAAGAATCAGTTATGGCTTTAGGCAGTAACTGATTGAAGGTGATTTCAATGCCTGCATGCGCATGCCACAAATAATTTGGTTTCAATTTTGATTTGAAATTGTAAGATTTTGACAATGCTAACCAGCTGAGGAAATGATTATGGGTGCAAACACATCTGTAGTGGTTGAGCCTTTTTGCACAGTGACTCCAATAGCTCTTTCACCTTGGGTAATGATTTTGACAACTTTTGCTCGTACTAGAATCTCTGCCCCAGCATCCCTCACATTTTTGGAAGCATGGTAAACCATCTTTGATGTACCACCCACAGGGTAAAAAGTACCTGAAGAAATAAAGAAAATATATATACACAGTAGTAAAAATGAGAATAATGAGAGAAAACTTTGTAGTGATACCAACCTTGAAGACATAAGTTCTGTGTGAGAAGCCAAAGAGAATATGGGAACTCATCTGCTGTAACATTCATCTCCAAAGAGTAAGGATTGAGGGCTAGAGGCATGTCTGGATATCTTTGTCTCAATTTCTATGAAAAGATAGTCTGATGTTCTCAAAAGACTTTCATATACATAATTTTTTACTCACCTCAAATTTTTCTTTTGTGGAAATTCTGTTGTACTTTGAATAATTTGTGATGATGTCAAAGAACCTCAGCTTGATCAAAAGCAATGCCAGCCATTTGGGAAGGAACTTGACAATCAGAAATGGCAGAAATGTGGGGACACTCCATTTCATATCACTGGCCAACCTTTGAAAAATTAAGGGTCAAACTTATGCCTTATCAGCGTTCTTAACACAAGTTTTGCAGACCAAATCCTTGGATTGTACAAAGTCAAGCCCCACACAACAGACTTCTGACACAATGGATTTTCGCACAACAGACCACTTCTGCTGGAGGCAGTTTTCCATTGTGCGCAATGGACTAGTCTCATTAAGCGCAATGGACAAAACTTGCATAATAACAGACTTCAGTTAGTTTAAGATTAATGGTAAAAAGTAATCATTTTGATGTTTTAATGATTAAATTTGCATTTGAACAACAGAATTTTCTGTTGTGTGATAAGTCTATTATTCACAGCAGTATAACTGTACATTTTGAAATACAGTGAGACCCCCACATGCGGACACCTCAACCTGCAGACAATTTGACTTAATACACTTTCTTTCAAATTAAAATTGACCCGACCTTCGGACACTGACTCAACCTGCGGACATTTACATTTTCAGAAAATCGAATTTTTCAAGCCAAATTACTACAAACAGATATTCAGAACCATAGGATGGTAAGATCTATTATGTAACAAAAATTGTTTTAAAATTCTGTCATCATTTTCCCCTTTATTTAGCTAATTTTAAAAATTATCTCAAGCATAGAGATTCTCAAGAAAGATGGGATTTCCTTCTCTCTTTTTGCCTAATTTTATTTTTACATGAAATGCTAACATCTCAATGTTCAATAGTGTAAAGAGGTTCAGCATTTTCACTTAAAAAATTGGATATTTTTCCCCTGTATTTTTCTCAAGAAACTGTTGGAAAAACATTATTCTCAATTTTTTCCTTGACAAAAAGCAAAGTTTTATAGCTTCATTTCAAGAAGGCTAGATACAAAAAGTGGAAAATGTCCTCTAAGAAGACAAAAATATCTTGAACAATCAGGAATATGCAAACTCTGGAACTAAAAAAAGAATCCTTAAAGATGCCACAGCTGGAGAAGAAAGGAAGAGAAGAGGACAGTTGCGGAATTGATGGATCTTAACATTTGGCAGTAGCACAGAAATTATTCATTTTGTGAATGTTTTTGGTCCCCAATGCTACAAATTTTATTCTTGAGTTGAAAAACACTGATTTAATAATATTTTCATCAGTAGAATTTGTTCAATTTTGATTAAGACTTCTTTCAGAAAACACCAATTGAAAATTATATAATGCAAGTCTATGGGAAAACAAGACTCAACTTAGGGACATTTTGACTTATAGGGACGCTCTTGATACACCAATCACGTCCGCATCTGGGGTCTCACTGTATTGTATAGAACTTGAAGGAATCAAATTTTACTCTGCTGAAAAATGACAGCTTGAAGAGTTAAATACATTCTCAATTATATGGAGAAAATTATTAAGCAATTATTCTAAATTTGATATAAAAAAATGCTCTCACTCAGAGATGAACTTTTCTTCCCCAGGAAAATACTTCAGCAGGGATTGTTTCCATTCATCTACAGTTTCAGTCTGGAAAAGGTATCTTCTCACTCCATCTTTGGGATTCCTTGGTGAGCCAATCACCATCTCATCTCTGTACTTCCCTATTTTCAAAAAGCATCACATTTTTTGTGTTAATATGGATGTGAGTGTTGAATTAAACTTACTTGATTGAGAAAATTCCACTTTCCCATCCAAAAGTACTTTCAGGCAGAGGCCAGCTAGACTATTTTCTCCAACATCAATAGAGATGTGATGTCCTGAGTCAAACTCATACCCATGATCCACAAATGTATGCAGGGATCCACCAGCCTGTTTACACATAAAAGTGCATTCACATGAAATGAACACTTACAATTAAGATGAAGATCATATTTTGTATTATATACTCACTGTGTCATGTTGCTCCAACACCAGGACCTTCTTTCCAGCCTTGGCCAGTAAAAACGCAGAACTCAAACCTGAGGGTCCACTTCCAATCACAATTACATCCAGGTTCGGAGGCACCCTTTCAGGCTTGAAACCTGAGTAAAAAAATTAGAATGTAAAATCATTTTCACCTCTAAAAAGGTTTTTGAAACTTGAGCATTTGACCAACTTCTATTCAGGACTTCATCCTTTTCCTTGTCTGTTGGATAAGGCTGGTTCACATCAACCTCAAAAGTTTTTGTTGAGATGATTGGGCAAAAGATGGCAAGATACACAGTTTTCAAAAGTGGTTTTAGCACCATGTAA